GATTTACCACCTGGTCCCGAATGCATGACATAATAAGTTGAATCATGCTGCTACCCGATTAATTTCCCAACAAATGATTTATCTATGACTAATGATAATAATGGAATTATACGGGGGAAACCTATGACTAATGATTATTATACGGGGGGAAAAGAGATATACAGGGTAACTCACGGTCGATGGTACGTTAGACGTTTATGGAGAACGGGACATAGGATCATTCTGAAATTTTGATAACTCACGTAGTTGCTCTTGGTCTATCGATCTAAAATATTTTCAGCTATGCGGCGTTGCCGCTTCTATCGAAAAGTAGCAACAACTTTGTTATTTTAAATGGAACACCCTGTATTTTATTGCATTTTCAGATTTTCTCTGAAGAGCTCACACTTGGGGTCTAGCGGAAATGATTATAGAGATATAGGGTGTGAAAAATCGTCATTTTTCAACTTTAGGATTTTTTTTTGTCGAAACTATTCATTATTGGACAAAACGGCTTACATGTCCCTATCTCAACTTTCGATTAACTATCTACTGATATTTAATTGGGACATATACCGGGTGAAAATATTCTAGATCGATAGACCAAGAGCAACTACGTGAGTAACCAAAATTTCAGAATGATCCTATGTCCCGTTCTCCATAAACGTCTAACGTAGCATCGACCGTGAGTTACCCTGTATATAGTATACAGAATTTAAGGCAAAGTATTGAACACGAATATAATGACAGTATAATTTTCGAAAGTTTAATGATTTAAAAAAATTCAACCTAGGCTGAAAATATAATCTTTCCCGAAATATCTAGATATGTTTTGTTCACTGGAAAGAAGAGGAACATAATGAACAATGTGGTCTACTTTTTATAAGCGCGCATCCAAATTGACATTTGGTATAATAATAATAATAATGATATGTTCATTTCGACAGAATCAGAATACAACGAAATAAATAATGATAGCAAGTTAACATCAGGTAAATTAACATTAGAAAACCCACAGAAGCAGCAAATGCTGCTTGTACGTGGTGAATTTTGTTTGACGAGCTATTTTTGAAAATACTAAGATTAATAATTTTAGAATATAAAACTAAGTAGGTACAAAAATTCAAAGAGTGTAAAATATTCATAGACAAATCAAAATGGATAGATATAAAAATAAATGAAATAGAAGAACTCCGGTGTTAAACAATTACAAAGACTTCGGAGACGTATAATATATATGTATATAAAATTACTGACTAAAATAAATTATCTCAGAATATGAATCTACATACAAAAATTCAAGAGTGTAAAATACTAAATTAATTTGTGTGTATGAAAATGTAATGAGCACTCGAAAATATCTAAAATAATTGACAAATTGTTCTATATATGGAACGAAATCCATCGATAGTTTACCTAATTCGGCTCTGATTAAGTTGCAATTTGGGGAATGGTTATTTTTTCGTAATAAAATTGGATTTTTTGAATAACGAGTTCAATGAAAATTCTATTCTTCAAATTGGATGTGCACTTAAAAAAAAAAGTTTTTTGTTTTGCCTGAAGACGGATCTGGATTCTGAATTCGATTTATATTTAGTTTTGATGAGAAATATGAGTTGAATATACCTACCAAGTATGAATCGATTATACACAGTGGTTCAAAAGTTATGACATGACCATAGATGAATATTTTGCCAAAATTAAGATTACGTTCTGTATCACAGTTATTTTGAAGATGGTAAATTCTTAAAAGATACAGTTTCGAACAGGAAGCACGAAAATCAGAAGAAGGTATTTCTTGATTGAAGAAAATACAACAAACGGTACGAAACATACAGGTTATATGTCACGACGAGCTTACACTATCTCTATATCGAGAATCAGTCGGGAAAAATCCATGAAAATATGCATGTGATCAGAATTCTGAATATTGAACCACCCTGTATTTGTTCCGATTGAATATCAGTAAATAGTGAAACAAAAGTTGAGATTGGGACATGTGAGCTGTTTTGACCGATAATGAATATTTTCGACACAAAAAATCCTAAAGTTGAAAAATATCGATTTTGAACACCCTATATATCTCTGTAATCATTTTCGATAGACCCTAAGTATGATATATCGATGAAATCAGCTCTTCAGGACGAATCTTAAAATGTGATAAAATACAGGGTGTTCCGTTCGAAATATCAATGTTGCTACTACTTTCTAGTTGAAGCAGCAACATTGCATTGTTGAACATATCTCAAATGAAATGAACGTTTTTTTTATCGCTTGGAGCGCACGAAACGGAATCCCTATAATGTTCAAAGAACATCGTATACCAAAATATGAGCATGCACATTTTCTTGGATTTCTCCCGACTGATTCTTGATTTGAAGATAGTGTAAGCACTCCGTGACATACCCTGTATAGGGTAATGAAGTTAAATGAATACAGATAAATATGATGAAAAATTGAGAGAATTTCTCTGCACTCTCCAGCGTGAAAAAAGTGAGGCTTTGATGAAACAACACGAAGAACAACACACGATCCCGATATTATTATTATTGAATCGAATGAGGAATACAAAAACATTATATACGAATCAATGCGATCACTCAGTTTTTAGAGAACACTCAGTTTGGAACGAAAAATAATTCCATTCGCGTATTTTTCGATGTCGATCACAAAATTCGACCGCGTACGTGATGACATCTAATATAATACTGTCTTGATTTATCACCTCTGGTCCCGAATGAATGACTAATAAGTTGAATCATGCTGCTAACCGATTGATTTCCGAACAAAAAATGATTTATCTATGACTAATCATGATAATAAAATTGAACGGGGGGGAGGGGGGAGGGGAGATATTTTGCATACAGGTGCTGTTTTTTTTTTCGAAAATCACTCACGATATGGAAGAATTTTACATAGGCTGAAAATATATATTTTCCAAAAATCTCGTGATTATGGAAGAACTTAACATACAATATGGGGTGGCCAGGTAGCCGTGCGGACAGAGTGTCTATATTCTAATTCGCATTCGCTTGTCGGTTGTGGATTCGATCCCCGTCGACTGCAGAAATTTTTCTGATGGCCCAAGAAAGTGTTTGGGATCACACGTTCAAAGGTAAAGCCCCCGTCATTCCTTGCTCGCACAAGACTTTCGAAGACTTTTGAGGGTTGCTCGTAAGGGGGCAATCGAATGACGGATAGAACAAATTTTAGAACAAAAAAAAAATGTACTAAAGAGATCGAACCCTTTCCATTACCAAGAAATAATTTACCACAGTGACATACAGGCAGTGACTGAATTGACTAAATGAATTCTGATTTCAAGCTGAGCAGTGAATACTCAATAGCAGTAGTTTAGCTATGAGCGGAATGTGCTGGGCCTTATGATTGAGAAATGGTAAAAACTGTACTCATGGCATGTGTGCTAAATATATTTTCGGAAATCCAACTCGGAGAAAAATTTATGGAGTGACTAATCCTAGGACGAAAAGTAGGCTTATATAAAGTAATACGTGAAATTGCAGGAAAATGAAGAATAGAATATATTCTACCCCCATGTTATACATATGATTTTTCCCTTAAACAAATAGTCATTTCCAAATAATTTATTGATGAAAGTAACAAAGAAGTAGGTATACAGTATAACTCATGGGCACGTTATTTTCACTCTTGCATCCTACATATTTTCGATTTTTGGTAGAGTATTAATTATATAAACTCATCGTAAAGGAATATTCTCAGATATATTTATGAACACAAAAAATGGATATATACAATCTATTGAACACACACGATAAGAATTTGAAAACAAAATCTTCTTAAGTATAGAATTTGCATTCTCCTTCATATAAAGATATGCATATAATATAATTCTGAATATTCAACAGAAAATATATATAAAAATATAACTTACCGATATGTTCAGTATTGAAATGAAAATTGAAATGTATATATAGGAGAAGTATACTTGTATGAACTCTGATCTTGATGAGATTGAAACTTCCAGAAAAAATCATTCGTATCAGTGATATGGGAATTATATCTCTCCTGTCCTGTCCACTGACTAGTGACTCTGACTCCCTTGTCCTCTGTCCTACTAATTAACTAATACTAATATAGTAGAAGTGAAATGGAAATGTTGGGCAGTTTGGCTCTCAATCATGTTATCATCATTAGTTTAAGCACTCTCAAACGAAAATTACACAAATTGGGGTTGTTCAGAAGAAAGAATTTTACGGACATTCTAGAAATTCAACAATTCATTACAAATAATACAAAAACTCATGGACAATTACATGTATACCGATGGATGCACCTTATAAATGCCTTCAGAATAATTTCGTAGTTTCACAAGACATGGTTCGTCTTCTGCTCCAAATTATTGATCCCGTTGGTGTAGATTTTCGAACTAGAAGACGGCTGAGAAGATGGCAATACAAGAATAAAGGTCCAAACTTTTTATGGCTTATGGATTGTTATGACAAACTCAAACCATATGGAATATGCATCAGTGGATGCATATTTCATATGCATGCCAACCATTCTACAATATGACGATTTCGTACGTTTGCAACGTAATCGATGCTTCCATCACCCGTAATTCCAATAAAATGGTTATCCAAATTATTCCAATTGCTTTTTTTTAGAATAGACAGTTGCAAGTGTCTATTTAGACAGTAACAACTGTCTATTCAGACAGTGCGACTGTCTATTTGAAAAGAAACGTAACGTGAGCCCTCTACGCTTTCGTACATAACAATGTACTAGAAAGATATCTTCGAGATATCTTCAGGACCTCTTTGTGCTGTCTGGGATTATATCATAGGTACCATGTTTGAGAAAACTCTTGTTATGACTCATGATCAAATTAAGACTTGGGTGACACATTGGTTATAAACTAAAGTGAAAAAAATGTTAGGTAATGATTATAATGCTTTCCCGTTTTCACTGCCCGCTTCCTGACGAGCCACCACTGTCTAGAAAAGACCTTAACATACAAATTAGGTGACCATATTATATGCATGTTATCCGCAAACAATATAAACTCAATTATATTGGATATGAGAGTATATTGTGTGGGTTTCTTTTTTTCCTTATGAAGATTCACAACCCACATGGAACCATTTTGGAACGGCTAAAAGTTATGACAATCGCGAAGTTCATTTCGAAACTTCTAACAAGGTAAAGGTGAAACTGATAATGCCAAACTATATTTATGAATACCCGATAACAAATATTCCATTCACACTAGGTACACAAATGAAATGTTACCGCTGTGGTTGTTCTTGATTGAGTTGGGTAAGTGCCGTTTTTCCTGTTCCTACGGGCAATATATAGACTAAAATATCCCGATTACCTATCCTGTAACTTTGTACTGATGAGCAGCTGAGGCAATATGGTTTTTCAATCAATTAATTTCGAAGCTATTTCTGTTTAACAATAATTGCTGATTATAGGAATATTGTTTGGAAATGTGACTTTCAGTATTACCTATACAAAAGATTTATTGTTTATTGAATATGAAAATTTGAACTTCGATGTGCCTAGATATATACAGGGTGAGTCATGACTAACCAGTCATAGCCTGATGGCGGATAGAGGATATCAAGGTGAGTTGATATACAGGGTGTTTCATTACTCAACCATAGAATCCCGAACTCAAAATATGAAGATTCAACCCAAATCACCTAGATAAAATATGTCTGCTGTCTGAGTTACAGGGTGTTTTATTAAAAAATTTTGAAATGTTTTTTGCCCAGTTCTTCAAAACTATTTGACGTATCACTTTCACATTTGGAGGGAAGTGTAGGTATTATACACCCAACTGAATTATGTGGAATGAACTTTTCTAGCTATTACCAGAGGCGTACGACAGGGGCAATTAATTGGTTGATCCCTCCCAAACTCTACGCCACTGGCGGAATCGCAATTCTATCACAAATTCTTGATTCTCCAACAATTTTGACGAAGATATTGTACTTTTTCTTCATGGCGATAAAGTCATCATTTTTCGAGATATTTCAAGTTAAACATAAATCTGCACAATCATTTTGATTTCAATGTGCATTTATTTTGTCAATATTTTGGATCAATGGATTGTATTCATCAATAAAATGGAACTTCAATCCATATTAACAATGAAAACATAATTAAATAACAGACAGGAGTTGTTACAGGTTACAGGGTGTTTAATTATGTAATATATTAAAAAATTTAAAACGCCCTGTAACAGCTCCGGTCTATTATATTTCTATGTCAATATGGATTGAAGTTTCATTTGATTGATGAATGCAGTCCATTGATCCAAAATATCGACATTATTGATACACATTGAAATCAAAATAATTGTGCTGACCTTATCGCTATGAAGAAATATTTACGAAGAAGGTATTGAAGAATCGAAAAATTTTGATAAAATTGCTATTCCGCCAGTGGGAAGGATCAACCAGTCACTTGCCTCCGTCGTACACCTCTGGTAATAGTTAGAAAAGTTCATTTCACATAATTCAGTTGGATGTATAATGCCTACACTTCCCTTCAAATATGAAAGTGATACGTCAAATGGTTTTGAAGAACTGGGGAAGAAACATTTCAAAATTTTTGAATAAAACACCCTGTAACTCAGACAGGAGACATATGTTATCTAGGTGATTTGGGTTAAATCTTCATATTTTGAGTTCGGGATTCTATGGTTGAAATATTTCCAATTAGTAACGAAACACCCTGTATATGCGAAAAAATATATTCTGCCTTTTCCTACCAGGAATACAGGGCATTATTTTGAATTCGGCGCGAAACTTTTTCAGAAACGTCTTGACGTTTTCGCCTGGAATTCACTAGCAATTCACCTCAACTGACACAGTGACACACCAAACGATGGCCTACTATGGAAGAAAAATTCCAGAGCCGCACTTGGAAATCTCATGTTCTTTTGAAATGTCAAAAATTCGGCTTTTTGAATCGTATTTTTCAACAACTTTCAACAGAATCAGGAAGATCAGGAAAAACAAAAGTGTAGCTTCTCAATTTGTACGGCACACTGCGACCGGATTGGTAAAAAAGTATCAAACAAGATTCAGACGTTTTGGATGTATGATAAATTGACATTCATCATACAGGACGTGGAAAGAAATTCTGAATTGAGAAAACTTAATCACGAATCTGCGATTGAGGTTCCATCGTTTAAGTATGAACCCCTTGATTGGGTGAAAGTATTGAAAAGGAATATTCTCAGATATATTTATATACAGGGTGTTCCAAAAAAACCTGACCCCCTTGCTAGGGTAGGTAGCACACTGTAAAATGCGTTGGGTTTGCTCATTGAAAAAATGTCGTAACGGCATCCGTTTTCAAGATACAAGGTTTTGAAAAAGAAAAAATGATTTTTCACACATTTTCCACGACTATGTCGAAACTACTGGCAACGCTGTAATGAAATTTTGTATGGATATTTCTTGAAATCTGACACATCTCATAATTCGTTTTAATTTCTAACTCACATGGAGGGCGCTAGTTACACGGTCCGTACAGAGTAGTTTAGAACATAACTTTTTTGAGGTCAGATTTTTCAATCCAAATATGATATGAACTCGAACATCATTCAATTTTACACCAAAAAGGTACTCCTGGTGAAACTCAATACTATGTTCCGTTTCCGAAATATTTCGATTTGAAAATAATGGAATAATAGCTGATGCTGGTATAAAATGAATTTTATTGAGTTCAATCTACTATTTATTCAGATTCAAAAACAATAAAATTATTGTTGTGCTGAAGTTATTGATGGAACAAAGAATCATAAGTAGAAAATTAAGAGATATTTGACTAGAAACATGAAATATTGAATCAGTTAGAGTAAGTGTTCAAAGTTTCGACGAATACACGAATCTATATTCTTTTCTTTAGAATGTATTATTCTTCCAAACAGTTGAGGATCAGCTGTCAGGTCATTTAAGTGATTTTCAATTATGTCTCACAACTCTTGACGTGAATTTACCTATGTAGCATAGACTTTCTGCTCAAGATACAACAAAACTTTTTAATCCATGTTCTCAGTCAAAACTGTTTCGATGTTATTCTTGTGATTTATTGTTAAATCAATAAGTTCAGCATCAGAAATGTATTGTTGTTTCCGGTTTTCAATAAATAGGTGATAATTTTTCATAATACTTACTCTAATACGTAGCTTTTATACCAGCAACAGTTATAACTTTATCTTTTTCAAATCGAAATAATCCGAAAACGGAATACATTATCGAGTTTCACCAAGAGCCATTTTTTGGTGTGATAATGAATGATGTTCAGTTTTACATCAAATTTGGATTGAAAAATCTGACCTCAAAAAGGTTATGTTCAAAACTACTCGGTATGAACCGTGTAACTAGCGCCCTCTATGAGAGTCAGATATAAAAACAAATGAATGCGATGTGTGAGAGTCCGAGAAACATCTATACAAAATTTCATTACAATGTTGCCAGTAGTTTCGACATGATCTTGGAAAATGTGTAAAAAAATCATGTTTTCAACACCTTGTATCTTGATAACGCATGCCGTTACGAAATATTTTTACTGATTAAACCCAACTTATTTTGCAGTGTTCTACCTAATCTATTAAGGGGGTCAGGTTCTTCTGAAACACCCTGTATATATCCATTTATTTGTGTTCATAAATATAACTGAGAATATTCCTTCTCAATAAGATTCTACATTCGACTAAAAGTATTCGAATCAGTTTTTTTGCATATTGATATAGCAGCAGAGTTGGGAAAAAGTATTATTAAAGAAAACTCAGGACACGACTTGGTTTTTGGAATGAAATAAAAAACATTCTCGAAAAAGATTCGTCTGTGAATCCTAATATTTCTCAACAAAAATTCTCAAAATGTCCTCCTTCCCAATTTCTATACATTTTCTGCACATCTTCGGCAGCTCTCTTATGGTTTTTCGGATAATTTGCCTATCATTTCTGATCACATCTCAATCTGTATCTATCCTCTTCCTCAGTTCCTCTCTGGTGTTGACTTTAGTCTGATATACCAATAGTTTCATGGATAGATAGATAATAATCTAAAACTGTTAGATTAGGGGACCTAGGGGGCCAAGAATGAGAGCCACCCCATCCTGTTGAGAGAAAATACCAATTTAGGTCCAGTATCATACATCCAGCCTATTCTCCTTTTGTAGTGTTTTCTGAATCTGAATAATGAAAACACCAATAAACTAACAATTTGATTCGTTGATTGTAGTATGAGTTGGCACGTATATCTGATTGATTGAAATTTGTTATTGTAAGTCGTTCTTTTGAACAATAATTATTATTGAACTCTAAGTATAGTTATTCGAATAATTTGTTCCAGCTGATGCTCTGTCATGTATAATCGTCATTCAAAATGTATATTTTGAAGGTTAACTCAGAACCTTATTACGAAGTAATTTGCCTTGTTAATTCGGTATAGATTTATTATTTGGTGATAAAATTAAAAATCAAACTGAAAACAATACTTACACACATTAAAAAGATTTCTCGTTTCAAGAAAATATATTTTTTCAGAAAGAATTACTCTGAATGAGAATATATTTTGTGATTCTGAATAAATATTTTTGGAAATAGCATTCCGCTCTTCTCAAATCAATATTTTCATTTCTTCGACTTTATTGCTTCATTCAAGAAAACATAATTCTTTCAAGAACTTTCAAATTCTCTTGAAAAAAATATTGATTCTTCTATCAAATATAATATCTTGTTTCAATATTTATCATCTATTGATTTCTTCATTCGAATTTTCACGATAATTTTCACGATAATCTTGATTCAATATACATTAATCAATATTTTCTTCATCTTCCATTTTACCGACAGCGATCGCTTGGACAGCTATAAAGTCTCTGGTATAATATGTCATTTAATTATATTTTTCTTTGAAATAATGCGACATCTTCGGTTCAAACCAATATATTTATTGGTACACCAAGTAGCTTCACTTCTTAGTAAGAAATAATTGTATTATTGAAGCAAGAAATCATACTGGCAAAGTATAGAAATAACGATTTCATGTACTTGGCTCGAATAAATCTTTTTTTTTTTTTTGAAGTGAGAATATGATATATTCAAGTTGAACAGTTTCATTTCATTGTGAATATTTTGAATTTTTTACGAAAAATACCCTAATATCTTCTCAACTCAAAAAAATATTGTTCCATTTTGAAGCAATTTCCTGCGAATATAAATTTCTGGTATTGAGAAAATATTCATTTGAGTATATATAAACAAATCATATGCTTGAAGCATAGATTTAAAAGAACCAGTAAAGCATATTTTGTTGGTTAGAGAAATCATTTTTTTGTGTGTAGAGTATAAGGTCACTGAGAAAACAAACCACTCAATCTCAAGACAAACTGTATTTTACTAAAATGGTAGTTCAAGTGCAAAATTTTTATTCCGATAAAACATATTCAACTTTCAAAATGGCACCTGGATACCATTTGGTAATATTTTTTTTAAAATAGAATGGCGGGGTCGAGTATACCTCATTCGACACGACTTTCAATTATCTACACGTCATCAGAGGTTCAGAAAATAGTTATTTGTTTAACTAGGCAGCAAAGTAGTAGATTGACTGCCGAGGCTGAATTCATAGCCGAGCGTAGCGAGGCTAGGAATCCAGCTAAGGCAGTCAATCTACTTTGCTGCCGAGTTGAACATATAGTTTTTTCTCCGATTGTTCATAATGATATATATCTCTTTATTTTTCCTGTGTTCAATTAAAATAAAATTTGATAGAAATCGCAGTTGTTGGAATGGCTGGTTGCTATGGAAATGTCCATAATGATTATAGTTTGACAATTCATGAAATTTCTGACAGTTGTGCGAAAAATGCGGTATATTTAAATTATTATAATGAACAGTGATAGCGACCTGGAAGTACTTACACCTCCAGAAATGAGGGAGGTGGCAAAAAATATAGAGTTGAATTTGTTGCCGGAGAAGTCTCGCATGAAATATGAAGGAAATTATAAACGATTTATGGATTATTAATTTTGCTGCTACATATCAATCAGCCAAGTACCCACTTTGCTGCCTAGGCAGGAAAAGTAATACTTTGCTGATTGATATGTGTCAGCAAAATTAATATTTGCTGCCAATCGGAGAAAAACATATTTGTCAATATCACAAAGACGTTTCGATAACCTTTTGAGGAACTCCTAATAAAGTCCTGATAATGCATTCGCAAGAAATCTCTCTAGGACGTCCACCTGTTACCATTTACAAAGGACGTCTTAGAGACGTTTCAGGAACTTCCTGAGAAAGTTGTGAATCATTCACTCTTGATGACGAGAGGCAGCCGTAAGACTTTTCAAGGACGTTCACCTGTTACCATTTTCTACATGCAGATGATATGTCATCAGAACATTCCAATGATATCCTACAGAGACGTTCTGAAGACGTCTCAGGATGTTTCTGAGGAAGTTCTGAATGATGCACTTATGATATCGAGAGGCAGCCGCAAGAGGTCTCTAGGACGTCCACCTGTTACCATTTTTTACATGCAAATATGAGGTTTGAAATATATATTCTCACAATTTTTAGTGGAAATGAAACTGGACAGAAATATTTTCTCACGAAAAATAGAATAGAAGCGATAGGTATAGCACCATTATCAAAAATTTTATCTAACTCATTGGGTATATTTTTCCACAGTTTGAATTATTTCTATACAGATATGGAAAAAATTCAGATTGTACCTTAATTAGAACTATGGTTTGCATTGCAATATTCAACCTAAAATAGTAATTTGCATAACAAGCACGGATTATACTGTTTTTTTGGACGAGTAGACAAAATTCTAGGCCGAGCCGTAGGCGAGTCCTGGAAGTCTGAGAGTCCAATAAAATTGTTTTTTGACGTGTTGCGTACAAAATTTTCTAGGCAACCATATGTAGAATAGCAATTCAATGAGACATTACATTTCTTTGTGGAATACAATTTCTTATTCATTAATTCTTATTTGTATATAAAATACTGAAATTTGAACAGAATACCTATTATACCTACTAACTGCTACATTGGAAATATCGTATGGACATTTTCAAACTAACTATCGCTGCTGCTTTCGATAGTTTATTGCGATAATTGCAACTGAACTTTCAAAAATCCAAATGTCAACTAATTTCATGTCAAATAGCTGTCAGCGGATATTTCGCTACTATGGTAATTATAATCTGCATTTATCAAAACCTTATCTACCAAGATTCTCATAATTACAGTGACAACGACGATGTGATACTTCCCGGCCCAGTCCGGGAAGGCCGTAAAAGTGCTACTTTCTCAAAGAAAAAGCGTCCGGGAAGTGAGCGAATTTATATCAAGAAGCTCAGACTAAACATAGATACATATGGTGGGCCAATGGAAACTTTCCATCCCAATTTTATGGATTTGAAATGAATAACATGTCGACTTTTGATTTGGGAAGGAATACATTTTCAGCTTTTTCCACCGCCATGGTTTCAACCCTGGTAGGTGCACAACCCTCAGAAATTCAATAGGAAAATGGGGTCGTGATTCTCGTCGAATTCATTATGACCCTCATTTTCCTTGATTATTTGGGATTTTTTCTCCTCGTTCCTATAAAATAAAAATATGATCATTATTTCAATATATGTGTAGTAAAAGTAGGACAAATCGAATGATTTGCCCCAAAATGGCACTGCGTTTAACACATTTTCAGGGAGCCTGAAAGGATAAATGTTTGAGAAAAGGAAATATAGATATATTGAAATGACAAATTTCTACTTATCTTTGGTCGTTTCGGGAACGAATCTGCTCCCGTTCTCAACATGAAAATGCAAAATATTTTTCTTCGGCAACAAGATGGTAGCTTGTAAAAATCTTGGAATTGTTTTGATTTCATTATTGAAAAAATAATATATCAGATTTAAAGAAAATAGAAACCGGAGTGTTCCATTTGAAAAAAAGATTTTGTGGTTTGTCACGCTTTTGTGTGATCACCCAGTAAAACTTCTGTAAGAGGCTGTGAAGAGGCGCATTCTCCTTTCGTATGCATATTGTTTTTTTTTTTGGGAAAAATATATAAGACATTATGTTTTTATCAATAAATAAATGTTCAATTGTATGAAAAACTGGAGAATCAACTGACGATAGTGTGACGGTGACATTTGTTGTCAAAGTATATACAATGAGTGTGTTGATTGAAATAAAGGCATATATACAGGGTGTCCCAAAATTAGCCTGCCAAACTTAACCAGCGGCCTCTAAGATCGAATAAAATAGGAAAAAAAGTTACTCTTCTTCCTATTTTTAGTCGTAGACGCCGCTAGTGAAGTTTGGCCGGCTAATTTCGGGACACCCTGTATATTTATCGAATATTGGGAAAGCTAGGTAGCTTTTTCATCACTACAAATGCCTGGTGATTGGTCGGTTTTAGGAAATCGGAGAAATCTTATTGGATTTCGGAATAGATTTAGATCTATGCGTGTACTAATCGGTGAAAAAAAAGTGATTATAGGGGTTGTCCTCTTCGTTGGATAACCCTATAGGAACATTCTAACTCACATGACTATAGTAACATTTTCAATATTTTTCTTTTTTTTTTTTCAAGTTACACTGAATGATCAAGTTTTTGCTGTGAACCGAATAGTGGGAGGAAGAAAAGTCTCAATAGAGGATTTTCCATATCAACTCAGTTTGAGGTATGTTTATATTTATAGGTACCTATATATCCATGTCTTGAATAATATAATCAATTATAAAAACTTGGGAAATGATAACCCATCAAGTCACTTCTCGAAAAATTATACATTCAAAATACCTTATGAACTAATTTATTGTATCGAGCCGCATTCATTTCCAATCGTAGAAATCAACCTCAAATTCAACTTATTTCGATGCAAAAATATAAATTCCTTGATACATTATTTGACGAATACTTTTTTCCTATTCAAAATCATCTCAGTTATTATATGAAGTAGGTTTGTGAAATTTGGAGCGTCGATATAATGACATAAGAGCTAGAATTTGAGCATATTGACATGTCGAAGTTAACTTCCGGTCTGACCGGAAGTAACATCAACTTTCTTATTTTAAACAGAAACCCTATTTTTTTTCTTTTCGCTTCATTCAGCATTCAATTCCCTTTCTAATGACATATCACAAGTTGGTATCTAACCAGAAACTAGATCAGAAAAAATTATTATTGAAATTCACCGAGTAGGCCGTGGAAGCAAAAATTACTTTCTATTATATCATTAGAAAGGAATGGTTATGCTGAATGGTACAGGCAAGAAAAAGTTGTATGTTCCTATTTAAGTTATGGACCTACAGAGTATTGTTTTTTCCCAATTTTTCCAATATTTTTTTTGGCGGCTTTTTATAACGCCGACGAATGAAAATAAAATATCACAGTAGTAGCAACTGTTATCAAGTGACGTATGGTTTCCATAGCCAACTTTTCAATTTTTGGCTTTCATTTTCCACGGCTTCCACGGCCTATACTCGGTGAATTTCAATAATAATTTTTTTCTGATCTAGTTTCTGGTTAGATACCAACTTGTGATATGTCATTAGAAAGGGAATTGAATGCTGAATAAAGCGAAAAAAAAACGGGTTTCCATTTAAAATAAGAAAGTTGATGTTACTTCCGGTCAGACCGGAAGTTGACTTCGACATGTCAATGTGCTCAAATTGTAGCTCTTATGTCATTATATCGACGCTCCAAATTTTACAAACCTACTTCATACAATAACTGAGATATTCCGTAGGCAATACTTCCGTAGCCACCTGGTATATGTGGAGCATCTCACGGGTACCCGGCAATATACGGTTGGTGCCTGATCTGTTTGTCCCATGTAATTGTTTTTATTTTCTCTAATTTCACCACGCAACTTACTGTGTTCCTTTTTGTCTACAAATGTGAATTATTTTTTTTAATCTACCTTCCTTCTACCTTTATATTTAATTGTTATTTCTTATATGTCTTATATACTAGTACTATAATTATGTCTTTTATTATTAATTTTGTAATATTGTGATCACAATGGGCTGTAATTATTCATGTACCTGACTCTATTTTATATACATATATTATTTTGACTGGTAATCTGAACTAAAATGGAATGCACTGAACACTGTACAGGGTCTGGTTTTTAAATGGAACACCCCGTATATTATAACATTTTTGGGTTCCTGAGACAACTCTGAATCAGAATATGACATTTTCATAAATTTTTGTACGTTCTTCATTTTTTCAGAGTCACTTTTAATATGGCATAAAATTAAGGAACTTTCACTGTCTGCTCATATGGGTTACTATGATACTTTCATTACCTATGAGTGAGTGTTTTGTTTTCCAAAGAAAACTTGATACAAATATTTTTTTAATATCATGGCTATCCATGGCACACTGGACAGAAGTAAATAAACTATTATCCAGGAGGATAGGACTGATAGTTCATAGCGAGGTTCATAGCAAAGGCGCATCCGAGGCTAGGAAACCAGCCAAGGCAATGAAACTGCAAGGCAATGAAACTGCTTTTCTGCCGTGTGAAACATATTTTTTTTTTCTCCAAAATCGTTTCAATTTCACGCAAAATCCAAATAATACATCATTTTGTTCAACATATTTTTTTATTGCCAATTTGATTCGAATCATTATTATATATTTTTCTTCAAATGACATTGAATGTTTCGTTAGAATGACGGTGGTGCATAACAGGCAGAAAAGGTGTACTTTTACTACCGAGGCAGAAAAAGTTTGTTGCTATGCAACGTTCCAAGAAATAATTTGAATCAGATTGGAAATCAAAATTGACAATGATCAGTGAACATGAAATTACATGAATTGAATCGAATTACATGAAATTGAAACAAATTTGGAGAACAAGATACATGTTTAAGCTAATTTTGCAAATACCAGTGTTTCATTCAATATTTCATTTATGTTTTAACTATATATGTTTTGTAACCATCAGTATTTTATTCATAATTGTCTGACTTTATTGAAAATACCGGGTGACACAGGTTATCGGACCACCCCTGTAACTTCTGCATTCGTCAACGGATTTTTCTGAAATTCTGTACAGTTATATAAGCAACTATTTCGGATTTGATCACATTACAATCCAATATGGCGGACTTCCGGTTTTTCTGGAAATGCCAGCAATTTTGTTTTTTCAAATGGAACACCCTGTATATTTTCACATATTCAAGTTCAACAGGTCAAAACAAGTGCAATCATGATGTCAAATGTCATTTATTCCACAGCTTACCTAGTCGAAAAATTAACTGCAAGGAAATTCATAAACTAGTTGTTGATTTTTGAATGTATACAATTTGTTACTGCACCGAAAAACAAAATTGATATGTCATTTTGTTCCTTAATGTATGTTCTAGAGAGACGGGAAGGTGGCCCATAGGGGTTCCATTTGAAAAAAAATAATTTTTGATCAAAAAGTGATGTGGCTGAATTGATTCCTGGATAAGTGACACAAAAAATAATTTTTCAGAAAAAATTATGTTCTTCTGTTATGTGTGACTCATTGTGAATAGTCTTGACCACATCTCATTTATCCACGAGGTAAACTGAAAAAACAATTTTAATTTAAATGTTTTCGAAAAAATGACATTTGAAATAGAGATTGCACTTGTTTCGACTTGTTGAACTTGAATATGTAAAAATATACAGGGTGTTTCATTTGAAAACACAAAGTTGCTGGCATTTCCAGAAATACCGAAAGTCCGCCATATTGGATTGTAATGTGATCAAATCCGAAATAATTGCTTATATAACTGTACCGAATTTCAGAAAAATCCGTTGAGGAATGCAGAAGTTACAGGGGTGGCCCGATTCCCTGTGTCACCCGGTATATGTATGTCCTTTCACAATATGATTTGAAAAAGTAGAACATAACCAAACATTCGTACTGGGAAGCTACAAAATATGTGCTACTTGAAGCGCCAAAATTTTTGATCTGGGCTTGCAGGAAAAATTATAAAGAACCGTTCCTGGAAACAAAAAAAAAACAATAAAAAAAAAGTTGAGGGAAGGTTCAAAATATACGTGAAGAGCCTGTACCTGAGCATCAGCGTCTGCGTGATCTTTCCCATTTTTCAGACTGAACGGAAAGCCAATTTGCGGGGCAGTTTTGATCAGCGCTGACACCGGCTTAACAGCAGCTCACTGCCTGCCCAAATCCGGAAGTTACACGGTGAGAGCCGGAAGTTCCTCCGTCGATTCAGGAGGAGTGATCGTTCCAGTCAGTCGAGCCATTTTGCATCCAGAAAACAACCTGCGGAACGACGATTACGATATCGGAATACTCAAGTTCAGCAGACCGTTAAGGTAGGGTCCCTTAATACAAACTGACGTATTTGTCATCTAACAGGGTACGGACATCATATACGTATTAATAAACAATACGGATCATAACGGGTGCCAGGATGAAGCCAAAAATATGAAACAAATGAATATCCATAAGGATTTGGTGGCATGATACGTAGTCATCAAAGACATGCGTTTCGGTGGACAATGACGTTTACTAGCCTTTCAATCAAAGCAGTATGTGTCTGATCGTATCTCAGTTTTCCTTATGGATAGTCATTTGTCTTCAAAAATCGGCTTCATGTTTCGCTATGAAAACAGATAGAGATTATCCGTATTGATTATTAATACGTATATGACAGACATGGTATAGACGAATTTTTTCTTTATGTTCTGGTTCCCACGAAAAGGGATATCCTGTAATGTTCAGAGAACATCGTGCCAAGGGAAATAAGGTAGGAATTGGTGTTCTTCTTGAATTTCTGGAGGTTATATGCCTCGGGGAACACCTCCCTTGGCAATGTGTTCTAGAGCCTCGCTGTTTGTTGGATGAACGAATCTTTCGAAAGAGACGTTCTGCAGGTCTCCAAAGTGACCACGAAGGGGTGTGAAGCCTCAACTCGACGGGTTAATCTCGCGGTAACTGCCAAGGGAGGAACAATTGTAGATATTTCAGAAGAGCATCGTCAGATCGCCAACTTTTTTAAGGTGTTCCAGAGAAGTGAATGAGTTTGTGAGCGAGGCATCACCCACGAGACGAATTACCCTTTTGATCATCTAGTGATCTTGGTTTCGTGTATTGGCGTCCCTGACATGACATTGCTGTTGCATTGTTATTTCATACTTAATCTTAATACGACATTATTCAATTCTGTTTTGGAAGGATGGTAAAATGTGTCGCGTTAGGCTGTATCAATCAGTTGGATGGCAAATTTGAATTTGTCAGCTTTCCATCGAATGCAAATGAACTCAGAACATGGAAAGTGAAGTGACCGAATGAGGGAAATTGGTACTGCCTAAGAACAGTCCCATTTGGTAAAACGTATTGAACTTCCTGAAAAATTTGCTCACTTCCTCACAAAGATTATGCTGGAGTTGAAAAATCAAAAACTCGAAAATTATCATCATCATTCGGATATAATATGTAGAGTGGAATGAGAAATGACATGTGGAAATTACGTATGATACGCCAATGTCCTCAATATAACCTAAAAAACAACAAATGTCAGAAATCTAGTGTTTATATCCCCAGAAATGAATAAAGATGGAACTATATAACTGTTTCACAAACACTTTAGATCCCTAATAGCACACAACGTCCTAGGGACGTCCCTATTTGGTACAATTCACGTCCGAATGTCCCGAACCAAAAAATAAGTGTCCTTGGGACGTCCCATCCCGTACATCTCATACAATGTCCGAGCAAGGACGTCCACAGAATGTCCCAGCTGGTACATCATTTCAAATGTCCTAGAAAGAGCATCCCTTAAACGTCCCACGTGGTACATATTGTAGAATGTCCATGCAAGGACGTCCTTGGCATGTCCCTGATGGGATATGATTTTAAACGTTCCTTTAGGGACATCCATCGGATGTCCCGAGTAGTACATATATTCTGGCATGACTTAAGATCATATATAATGTCGTTTCTAGACAACCATGAATTGTCCCTGATGGTACATTCCTTCAAATATCTCTGCACAGACGCCCTCAATATTTCCAGGATCGTATAAAATCGAAATGTCTCTTAGGGACATCCTTCGAATGTCCCTTAAGGATATCCGTCCCAATTGGTACATGAACTGTACTCTTCCAATGTCCTAGAAATAACGTCCTATAGACGTCCCAGTCGGTACTTTCAATATGTTCTCCCTGCGAGGACGTTGACTTACACCTCGCCGACGAATGATTAATCGTAGGCTATAAGTACTCCTCGTCAATGTCCTCCACGTAAGTCCATTGGACATCCTTGGGAAACTTTTTGGGGACCATCTACGGACCATCAACTCAAGTGGATGTTCTATACAGTTATGCAAGATCTGATCCTAGAGGGACCCAGAAGAGATATTCCTCAGCGTTGCTGATAGGTTGTCCAATGGATGTCCTAAGGATGTCCTCTGAAGTGCTTGATGAGGAATACTGTAGGATTTAGGTATTCGATAGTTGTCCCAGAGACATCCCTCAAGGACGTCCCTAGTATTGGTCCTCAAGTGGGACATTTGTGCGTCCCACAGACGTCCAATGGACGTCCACGGTACCAAATTCGAACGTCCTATGGACGTCCTGAATGTCCCGACTGGACGTCCTAAGGATATCCATGGGACATAAGTGTGTTATTAGGGGAGTGAGAGGAGACGATGAGGATCTGTCCGTACCCTGTTAAGATGACAAATACGTCAATTCACATTCCATCCACCCCGATTCATGTCCAAGTTCAGTCCAGACAGCACAAGTTTGTCCTATGGACGTCCTCACGATATTGTCCTCAAATATTCGAAACGTTCCAAAGACGGCCATTTTAAATACATTTATTTCTGAATGTTCATATTATGTTCGTGGAACATCGTGCGTACCTAGGGACGATAGGGGGAGGCCTTTTAAGCCAGTTCAACATTATTTTTTATATCAAGCTAAGCATATTATCACTTTAGAACTATATTTTTTGACGTTTGTAGAAAAAATGTTGTTTGCATCTCGAGCGCGAAATACTTTGGTCATCTCGACTATTAACTCGGATCTCGATCACCAAAGTAGCATTTCGCGCTCTAGATACAAAAATAACTATACTCTTTCATTTACGATGATTGTAGTAGATCCATATTCCATATGAAATGACCGTGGAAACGTTGATAGAGGAACGTTAGCTCAACATTACATCCCTGAAATTATTGTATAAATATACAACAAAACGTATTCTACATGTTACCTATCTTTAGTCTGTCATCTTTCTAGGTTCTCGAACAGCATCCGACCCGTAAAACTTCCCGAAGAATTCCAGAGCGTGCCTGATCACACCAAGGGAAACGTATCAGGCTGGGGCAGCATCTCGGGCATCTTTCCTTTCCAACCGGATTTTCTTCACGCCGTGGATCTGCCGGTACTGCCATCGTGGTTTTGTCAGTTCAGCTACAGGTACGCACTAATTTTTCGTTAGAATATATATTTGGATGTACATTGGACTAACTTGTGTTATTAGGAAGAGGGTGTACCAGATAGGGTGGACAATCTCCAGGTGTATCGGAATAAACTATGCAACACTGATTTCGTCGCATCCAAAAATTTTGCCTCTGTTGAATTATAAATTATTTTTTTCTGCTTTGAACGATTTGAATTTGGATCACACTGTTCGCTAGCCCAGTCCTTGATCTATAATCTCGTAATTCTTTGAAACATGAGGTTATTTACATAAAATCGCTACAGGGTGTTACCTGAAACTGTACAACATTTCGGAAACTTCAAAAGTATCCCAAATGAAGAAAAACTTTTTTTTTAACAATGACAGTAGAGCGAGCAGTAGAGGCATGTAGATGATCTCATTATCTTGGGACAGTTCTTGAATCGTCTCCTTATCTCTTTTTTTTACAGAGTGATCTCAAAAAATTAACTTTTTGGTTTTGCAGTCATAACATTTTTCCTCGGCAACCGATTTTTGAAATCTCAGGCTTATTTTGAAGCTCAAACTTCAGATGAGAGATATGAAGATCAGAATTGACTTGATGAAAATTATACAGTGTGTCTTACTTCTAATGAAAGCACCCCTGTATCTTTCGTAATTGTTGAGAATACTTAAAATACACACTATGACCAAGTGGAGTCGTCCACAGTGATATACACTGCTCGCCAACAGCCATGGAACCACCCACAAAAATGATACAAGGAGGTTGAAAATCCCTTTGAATTCAAAATCAGGACATCCCTTTCGTTTCCTCCTGCAAATTTCAGAACCCTATCTCAATAATTACGTGAGATACGGGGGTGCTTCCATGATAAGTCAAACAAAATTCGATTCTTCTGAATTGAAAATTATCTAGAAGAAATATGAATAGTCAGTGAATTAGACGTCCTGCTTTCGAATCCGAAGTGATTTTCAACCTTTGCTGGTTTACCAGCCTCGGCTTCGCCTAGGCTATGAAACTCCAGCCGCGGTATTAAATCTTGTACTTTTCTGCATAGTAAAACAAATAACTATTGTTGTTTATTTTTACTATTCGTTCCTGTTTTTTATATACTCGAATCTTATAAGTACCTATGAAACTTTTGTGAGTATTGAGTATTTTGTTTGTTTCTATTTTGTTGAACATAGGTTATTTTTCTGTTTACTGAATGTACATAATATTTTCACGTCATAGGTTTATTTCATTATTTTTTCTTGGAATTCGTATAGCATAAAATAAATCTGAATTTTGGACAAGATATTTACTGATGAAATAAAAATCGACTTGGCAACCCTGGTCTGCGCGGAGAGTGAGTTGACAACAACTGTCATTTGCTGTTGTCAAATTAATTTTTCACGAAAACCGATAGATTTCACATGTGAAAAGGACCGTGATGTGGATATAAAGGTGGATTCATGCAACATCAACTAAATTATAATGAACTTCAGATTTGAACGAATTTTGAATTAGAAATATACTCCACTACACTGTTTTACCACTAACCAAACCGATTTTTCACACTCCTCGACACGTGTTTCGCTAACTATGATAGCATCTTCAGGAGAAGATTAAAACTAAATATCCTATTCTAGTGTGCTGCTTATATACTAGGTACCTATATGTTCACCCAACTGTGAAAAATACTAACCGTCAAGTTAATGTTTGTCATGGTTGAGTTCACATGTTAATCTTAATTTTTATTTTGTTAAACTATATAGAGGGCTATATGGAATAGGTCCATTATCCTTATTCATTACTCTTTTACTATTCTTAAATATCTCTAAGCTTTCATATGCGTCTAGTTTTCTAATGTTATTAACTTGCTTAACTAATTTGAGGTTAGTAATATGTGTGTTATGATTGTGATTGAACATATGTTCGGCTACACAAGATTTATCTAACCTGCCATATTTTAAATGGGCTATGTGTTCTTTGAACCTTGTTTTTATGGGTCGCCTGGTTTGGCCTATATATGTTTTATCACAATCATTACAACTTATTTCGTATATTCCCGACTTTTCAAGTGTGTCCACTTTATCTTTCGGATTGCCTAATAAATTGCCTAATTTTGACCCAGACTGATAAACGCTTTCAAAACCTAAGTCTTTGAAAACCTTATCAAGTCCCTTCGTATACTTGGGATTTCAAAGACTTAGGTTTTGAAATATATTAGAAATATATTATGGGTGTTCATGCAATAACCCTTCATCAGCTGTTTAATATTTTTCCAGCGCAGCTAGTTATTATTTGGCGCATGCACTGTCGTGAAGTAGGAAAGAAATTGATTTTTTAGTTGGTTAGTTTTAATTTTAGTTTTAATTATTTAGTTTCTTACATGAGCACCTACATTTCATTTCATTGTTGTATATTATTGTTTTAAGTTCAGAATGCATTTAAGTTTTAAATTTTGCTTGCATGAATCCACCTTACACACGGTCTACGAAAAAATGTAATATGCACCTCGGCGAAAAACTGTCTATCGTCTCGACTGATTGCTGATTTGCAGATTTACACAGGTTTTCGTCCGTGGTACATAAATAACTATTTTATTTCAGGTAAGTATTTTCATTCGTAATAATTTATGATTATTTATATTTTAGATATATCCGCATCACTCCAAGAATGTTCTGTGCAGGGTACAGAGAAGGAGGTAGAGATTCTTGTCAGGTGAGATATTCTGCAAAAACCCGGTATGAACCTGAGTTCGTAGATGGTAGTAGCCTCCCTCCACCACCTATCTGCAAAAGCAGAAAAAGAAATCGAGCATATACTTTTTGTGAATCTATATGATTTCATTAGACATCAAGCCTGTCCCAGAGAATTTTATGGAGTTATTACACCTCTATAATAATGCTGTCTACATTATTGTTTTTCATCTGAATCAATTTTCCGAAGAATTGCAGACTCGATATAAAAATTGATTGAGTAGAGAATAACGTATTATTAAACTTCAAATGTTCAAAATGTCGAAAATCCAATACATATATAGGTATTTTATCCACGACTGTTGTATAGAATATTCATAATACATGTACTTCCTCAAGCAAAAGGGTAGCCATTTTTCACACCAGTGAATAATAGCAGTGAATAACCATAATTTACTGGTATAGAGTACGCGATATAACATATAAGGAACATTAGACCAGTGAATAATGGTTATTTACCGCTATTATTCGGTGATGTGAAAAATGGCTATCTTTATGCTTGAGAAAGTACAACAGTCGTGGACGAATAATCAATAAAACAAGTATCTTCAATTCTTAGTATTCTTGATGTCAAATAATGATTTTTGATAAACCAGTTGTTAAAAATTTCATATATCAAAGACAATAGTAGTCGTGGACAAAGTATAGTATTCTTTTCGCATAAAATAAGCTATTATAATAGCCCTCATACATATAAAGAAAACATGTTTTTATCAACATTTGTTCGAAATTACTACTTCCAATAAGGACGCTACAGCCGTTTGAAGGTGGTACCTAGGTCCTTAAATACAGTTTTCTTAAACTTTTACTATTGATTCTAGACTCACGAAATTTGGTGCCTGAGGGTAATTTGATCTTACAAATCATTTCGTTTTATAAAAAAAATGGTATACACGGTGATCCAGGTGTTGAGGCACAAACTAAAATGGGAGATAGATCTCATCATTTTAATCAAAAAATTGCATATAAACATTATTCCGATCTCGTTCAGTAGCGGAGCTACAGGGAGTCGAAGTGTAATTATTTTTTTCTATTAATTGAAATTTCTCGCTGACTTTTCAAGATATCATCTCGAAATTTGATGTGGTCAATACTTCCTGAAAGATCATCATTTCGAGCCGTTCAAAGATTTTCAAAATCTATAAGGTGATATGTTTTTGGGAGTAGAGGCTTCTTTATCCCCCAAACTTTTTCGTAGTACACCTCTGATGGCATCTTTCAATGATCAAATTGTGTGAATCGTTCAATTTAGAGGCTTTTTTTGCTCCTCAATTTTTTTCGAGTATATGCTATCCTTTTATTCCTTATAGGATGACACGTAAATTCCAATGAAAATAATTCCATGAAAATAAGAAGTGGGGGATAGCTGCCAGAGAAATGTCACATGTAATCGATTTTTTATATACAGTGTGTGCGATTTCATTTCGCAACACCCTCCTAATTTGGAACTCGTCGACCGATTTTCAAAAACAAAGATTCCATAACGAGCTCTATTCGAAAATGTGGAGAAATTTGAAATAATCAGATTTTCAAGGACTACTTTTGTTTGTTGAAATGGTCAAAATTTCAAAAACGACTATTAGGCAATTTTTTTTCGAAATAGTGACTAGCCTTTTCGATTCAGGTATAGCTGAAATACCCCTAAACGAAATTTGAACGCTAGATCTCATATAGGGTGTTATTCAATGGCGAATTTTGATATTTTTGATTTTTCGATTCACCCTGTATCAAAATCTAAGGAGTTGATATAACCAGTGAAGTAGTTATTCAACAGAGGAACACAAAGGTATACGAAGTTTCATCGCTGTAACGTCTACAGGAAGATCTCTCTAGGTCAACCAATAATTAATGAAATTGAAATCGATTTTTTTTTATTATCATCAGTATATCTTCTAGCAGTCTTTAGAGAGTATTTGTCTGTCATTCTATTTGTGTTATATTCGACAGCTCTTTATCAAACAAGACGATTTTCAGAGTGACTGTGTGGTGTAGTGTGTGAAATACGGTTTACTTTATCAGAATGGTGAATCTCAACTTTAGCTTAATTGATTTTTGGTTGATCTAGAGAGATCTTCCTGTTGAAGTTACAGCAATGAAACTTCGTACCTATGTATTCGATGTGTTCCTCTATTGAATAACTACTTCACCGGTTATACCAACTCCTCAAATTTGATACACGGTGAATCGAAAAATCAAAAATATCAAAATTTGCCATTGAATAACTAACACCCTGTATGAGATTGTGCGTTCATTTCGTATAGGGGTATTTCAGCTATGCCTGAATGAAATAGGCTACACTGTTTCGAAAAACAATGCCTAATAGTCGTTTTTGCAATTTTGACATCTTCAACAAACAAAAGTAGGCCCTGAATAT